GTCTGTAACAACCGGCCAGACGTCGCATCCCGTTGCGCCGGTTTATACGCGCGAGTCGATTGGCTGAAGTTGAAATTGTTCATCTCGGCACGCTCAGCTCTGCGAGCTCTCGCAAGCTGAGGTGCAGAGAAGAAAGTGACATGACACACTGCTCGCAAAGGCAGCGCGCCACCGGTCCGCGCTGCTTCGCGTGCAGTGTGTCACGGCCTTAATGCTTCCTTTTGGCCGGAGCTCAGAACTGTCAGAGCTCCAGCCGAAAGGTATTACTGAGTGCCCGAGCTGACAGGAGCAGCTATGCGGTCTGCATTTGACAGAGACCCAGACCGTGCAGCTGTTCCTACAAGTCAGGTACGGCGTACCTGACTTGACAGCCGGCTGCTGGACGAATGGTACTGGTTCACGGGCTAGAACTGGCGCGCGGGCTGGTACTTTGAGACCCCCGGAGTAGAGGCTCTGCCACCCCTCCACTCCCTGCCGCCCTGAGGCCATGGCCTTGTGGGGAATCCAGCCCTGGTAGTGTGTTTTTCTATTGTCCTACAAGTATGTTTTATTCACGTTTCTGCACTTTCATTTAATGTTCTATGCATAATCTACTATACAGTCACTGATCACATATGACCACAAGGCTGTTTTCCCTATGGGCTCCAGCTAAGTGCATTCCACCTCAAAAAGAACAATCCCGAATGTCCACCTATGTCCAGCTGTGGATGACTGACTGGTGACTGCACAGGTGTATGAGGATCAATTGGATGTACTCGGATTAATGTATAAAATAGTGGTTTACATTTGCACTAACCACCAACTTCAGCATGTCTGCACTAGCCATTAAACTGCAACAGGGCTATTTAGTGGTCATTAGTGGTCATTTCCACTGGCCACTAATGTACAACACCCGATATGCTTGCCTAACCCCAAATACATGCCAAGAATACTTTTGAACAGACCACCAACTATGACCGAGTTATGTATGCACTGACCAATGGGCTATGTTTGAACTGAGCACTTATATACAAAAGCAACATGTTTATACTGACAACAAACTTATGGGAAAGCTGTCCACAATATAACAGTAGTGTGTTTGCTGGGACCACCAATGAACTACAGAAATATGTTTGTACTGCTCATCAACTATGATAGGGCTATATTTGTATTGACAACTAACATACAACACTGACAGTTTTGCACTGACCACCAATGTAGGACATATCACCATCAATGTATAGCAGGGACATTTACAATGTCCTTCATTATACCGTAGAACTGGGGGGCATATTTTAATTACCAATGCACTATATTTCTGAAATGAATACCAATGTAATAAAAGGGCCATCTTCACTTCCCACCAATGTAAAGTGAGCTTTTATCAGGAGTGTAGCATAATAGTAGTAAGAGGTGCTGCTATAAGTAAGTAGTATAATCCAATGGCCACCAATGTAAAGTGCTGGGTACTGCAGAGATTTGTAGATATGCCCCTGCCCTCTTAGACAGGTATCATCAGAAGAGGTGTTCCCATTTGGAAGATTTTACCTCACTTCTTATGTTCTGGTGGCAGTTGTAAAGTTTTGGATTTCCCAACACTTCCTGATTTGGTGGCAATAGTCACCAAGCAATAAAAGATGTTTAATTTAACATAGTGGGGAACCAGACAGCATTAAAAACATGACATGGGGTTCTAATCCTTTCCTACTGTATCTAAAACTTTTTGCCTAAATATACACTTTAATGAGTGATCCATCAGATATTAGTGAGCCAAATCATAGCTCCAAGACATGTAAAAGTTGTAACAGTAATGAAAATAGAAATGCCTGTAGACTGCATTTATAGTGTAATAATAATATAACCTCAATATGTGTATACGTTTAGCACTAGGACATATACTTATACTTATATCAGACGTGCAATTTTCCATTTAATTTAGGTGATCACAATACCACGGCTTATTTTTGCTAGTTTTCCCTTTTATTCTATTACTTTGGGTACATGAATCATTTTTCAAGCAGTGCATTGATGTATATTTAACCATGACATTTATCATTTTAATTAGCTGCCGCACACTTGTCATGAAACTTCTGCTCATAATGTACTAGAAATATTGTCATTACTATTATCTTATATCAAGCTTGACATTTTTTTAAAGATAGTAAATGAATAGGAAGTAATGACATAACGAATTGCACAGTCCATCTACAAGACAATAGATTTTTGTGTAAGAAGCAGAGTCAAACATCGTCTTAATATCATATGACTCAAACAGCATTTGCTCTGAGGATGGAAATGTCAAGCATTCTTCATTACACATCTAATGGACAAGCATCAATTGTTGTGGCTTTCCTACTCCTTGGAAAATATGATAGTTCAGAGCATCTTTCTATACATTGAGTGTTCTGAATAGTAAATAGTAAAAGGGTCACCCTTCTGAGGGAAGGACAATTAAAACTCAGAAACGATTTACAACTGTGAGGGGATGGGGGTTGTAGAGGGGGTTAGGAGACTCTGTAGCATACTTGGTGACCCTGTGGGGGATTAAGGTTCTGGAGGGGCCTGGAGGCAACTGTGGGGCATGCTGTTTCTGGAGAGTGATGGGGGCTCTGTGGGTCACTGTTGGAGGTTGGAGGCACTACGGAAGGGTTGGAGGCTCTGAAGCAGGCTGGAGGGCAGTGTGGAAGAATAAGGGGCAATGCAGCAGCTGGGGCATGGGCACTGTGGGAGGCTGAGTGGCACTGTTTAGACTTGCGTTAGTTTTGGAGGTTGGGGACACTGTGGGGATTGTGCACATTCAGGAGGCCTGGGGGCACTGTGGGAGGTTGAGGGACACTGCGGGTTACTGTGGGAGGTTAAGGGATGTGGAGGCTCTCAGGGTGCTGGGGGACACAGTGGGGGTTGAATGTAGCAGAAATTCCACCAATGCTCAGCGTTCCAATACAGGACATCTGCTTCACTCAGAAGGTGAAGATCTGTTACTGCGAACATCTAGAGATGTTAAATGTGCCTAAGCAGTACCCTGAATTTTTTTTATTTTCGCTAGAGTTGCTCCTAAAAATTGCACCTTTGTGCCTACAGCCTGATATGTGTATCCGCAGTATGACATCTATGACTAGCAGTCAGGCACGTTTCCTGACTAGTACTTGCTTTTTTGGGGGGGACAGCTGCAACAGGTCAGGTCCTCTTTAGGATAAATTCACACGTGATGCTTTAAAATGCATGAATGCTCAATAGGCCCCTTTCACACGGGCTGATCAGGAGAGGATCCGTGCATGGATCCTCTTCTGATCACAGCAGTAGCAGAGCAGATGTCACATTCTTGTCTGGACAATTTTAAACTGCAATTACAGGCCAGTCTATGATGAATTTGATGAAAACAGACACGACCAGCACGATCTGGTCCAGCTGAATGGAATCGGACCCGGCCAGAGCCAGGGTTAATGGGGTGTAAACAGATGCACATCGGTTTACACACGGCTGCCCATAGACTTGCATTGGGCATCCAATCGGGCCCACCTGAAAAACTGACAGGCGGACCTGATCGGAGCATTCGAATGAAAGGAGCCTAATGCGTTTAAATTTCTGATCCCATTCATTTGACTTGAACTAAAAAAATGCAGGGCAGGTGGTGTGGAAAATGGCTTTGAGTATTATAGCTGCTGCCATCTTATCACCTGATATTTTCATGTTCCTCATCACATTATTATAGGGCAGTAGTACCACCAGTGTCGCAGTAGAAACCACCACTAATAAACCCATGTAGAGTTGCATATCTCAGAAATAGTTCATAGACCAGGATATTTCTGTACCATAAGATTAGTAAATTTATACCTTGGATTATTAAAAATTTTATTTTTTTTAGAACCATATTAATTTACTTTAGGATAATTGAGCATACATACAGGCAGATGACCTGACACCATTCAGGCTCAAACTTAAGCAGGCTTTAGTATATCAGCCATATACATAATGGTTTATGGATGTTTAGCATTTTAGGGAGGTTATGTAAGCAATCGGTAATGACCCTTCTTTATATACCAGAAGTTTGCTTTCACAATTATCATTTTCAATGGCTATAATTGCAAATAAAATTAGGTACATTAAAGAAAAGAAATGTATGCCCAGGTAGAGGCACTTGTGTATTAAATAGTATCATTTTATAATCCTGTTTTTTTTACCTTTTACTTATGTGAAGAAAAGAAAAAATCATGGACAGCTCTCCCTGAAGATAGCTTAGGATATACATGACTGATCATTTTATGAAAAATTGGCTTTCACTCAAGGTTAATTACCAGTCAAGTTGATATTGTAGACGATATTCTCTGTCTTCTGCTTCACGCAGATTGTTGTTATATTTGAATAATTGCTGCCTCATCCTGGACACTTCTGTGTTGGAGTCCTCAGGGAACTGATCAGCTTTTTGCAGCTCATGTTGTTGTTGTTCAAGTTGATGTGTGAATCGTTTAGCATCTTGTAGCAGTTGTATTTCGGATTCTTGTATGCTGTAAATTTTTGATAATAAGGTCAATCTCTGTTTTCGTGCAATCTCATTTTAATAAACAGAACATTTAGGAATTTGAATCAGGATCGTATCAGTGTGTTTTTTCCTTTACTACTTGAATGACATCAGACTATGAATGCTGTGATGTACCTCATTAAGTTTATTCATTTTGCAAAGATAATACAAAATCATACAAACATATAGAGAATAATAGCGTCCTTTCACAAGTACATTGACCCACTATTAAGACCTAAGTTCGTGTTCTAGTCCCTCTCCACTTTATCCAAAACGATAAATAAAGTTTTGGCTTCAGTTGCCCTTTAAGACCTAAAATTATGGTTGGATTGTAACAATCAGAAGATAAATGATGTTGTGGCATATAATACGGGTATATAAAGCCCACAAGTGTTAAGATCAAACCTATGGGGATAACACAATCTCGTGTGATATATTAAGACAGCTTTACAACTGATATACATCTAAAGAGGAAGACGCTCCTTGCTGCGAACAAGAACACAAATACAAAAACCACATCCGTGAACAATAACAAGTTATGAATTGTCAGAAGCGGCACTTTTTTAAGGTACATAAAGTTACATTGTGTCTCATGCCAACAGTGTACTTTTTACTTCTTCAAAAACATTTGATTGTCATACAATAACATCAAATTATGGTGTCACGCCTGCGCTAAACTAAGCAAAATACTTTAAGAATCAAAAAACACTTTTAGGGAAAAAAATTTAAGCATAAGAATTATGATATTGTTTTATACAAAATGTTCACAACAACCCTGCTCCAGTAAGTATACACATTAAATGGCACGGGGTTCAAAAGTTAACTTCATAATTGTGGGCAGTGTAATCATCATTGTTTGCAAACTAATGGAAACAAGTGTTACAGCTTTCATATCTTTCTACTTGTGGCTGACAGATGAAATTGAAACTATTCATTTGTCTAAAGATATTCTTTGACTTACAGGGCCTGAAAAAAAATTCCAAAGTATTTATCTTTGGTACGTAGCATCCAATACACAAATTGAAAGGCTAATTCCATGTGACAGTGACAGTTTAGTGCTTCTGGAATCTGGTGTGTGCTGTAATGTGCTTGCTAATGTTATTAATTCTTCAACTTGGTGAAAGTAAAAAATACAGAAATCAGAATACATGCGGTACGTGTACACACTTTTTTAAGGCTACTTGGTCTAAAGACTGGCAGCCTTAAAGAGGAATGTTACCCTTATCTTGAAAATTCCAACAAACACGCCGTTAGAAATGTTTAGTAATGACGATCTACAAACAGATGCTTCTACTGTAGATAATTGCAGGCTTTGTATTCTTTGCATACCTTATTTTTCTTTTCTGGCGATTTTCACTAAGGGTGGATTAATCCATCTCCCTTTGCTTCCTGGAACTCTGGCACATGTGACTATGACATGTGACCATGCACATCACCTCAGGAAAAAAAATGCCTTTCCCTGTGAGATTTTGCAGTTTACAGAAGAGATTTTCCAGCAGTGTACTGTGATGTATCCTCCCCAGGATGCATCTCTTAAGCACAGGCTATATCATTAATGCCTAAGAGGGCCAGGAAGTGGAAAAACGGTAATTGTATGTAAAAGAAACATATATTAACTAATGAATGTAAGATGATTTCATATCAGCATGCAGAGCTGAATACTGATGTGATTTTTAGTGAAAGGGGGTACAGCTCAGAGGGTTCTTCTGTCTGCAGGCTGCTGCTACTTTTTAATTTGGCGCAGTGGGACAGGAAAGAAAATCAGCAGGATCCAGAGCATCCAAACACCGTCAGAGAATTAGATCCAATGCAAAAAATAATAAATGCACATTTTTTCTTTTATAAAGAAGTGTACCTTTATTATTTTTGTAGACTGTGCCTTTAAAAAAGGGCAAATATTTAAAATGACAATGAACTTGATTTTTTTTTTTATCCAGCTGTTTTTATATTGTATTTTCCCCAGCTATATTTACAATTCATTTTGTGAATGTGTAGCTGAGAGTGCCCCGTGCCATTCATTCTATGCTGCATGGATTATGCCGTTTGCAATGGGGTGCTGAGCAATAACAAGGTGAATGTTAATTTATTAGGCATAGCTAGGTATCTGGATATACAATTTGTTACTTGAAAATATACTTACATTAGTTTTCCTCCACTCAGCTAGGGTTGTCTTCAGTCTTAAAGTGACATTAAAGTCACAAATATTTCCCCCCTCCCCCCATGCTGCTTTAAGGACTTACCTTAAATGATGCCTCTTAATCCGATCCTCTTCTTCCTTCCACTTGTATTCAGCAATCACTGGTTCCAGTCTTCAATCCAGTGCAGACTCCTGTCTCTTCCTGCCCCACGGTGTCTGTCCGGCGTGCACGCGAACAGCTGCGTGCATTGACTTAGTGTGGGTCTCTCCTCTTCTCCCTGCTGAAGATCTGTACTGCGCATGCGCCCGCCCCATCATCCTGCATGGCTGCTCGAGAATCTTCAGATCTTTGGACGGGAGCGAGCGATGTAGACACAGGTAAGTACCATGTTTCCCCGAAAATAAGACAGTGTCTTATTTTTTTTTTGCACAAAATAAGACACTAGGTCTTATTTTCGGGGGATGTCTTACCTGGCTGGGGGAGGAGTGGACGAGGTCCCGGAAGGCGACGTGCTGTTGCCGGTCCCGGCGGATGTCGCTTCCATTGTGCGTGTGTGCGGGCGGGAGCTGCGGCTGGCGTGTGGGCGGGGCAGGAGCTGCGTGCGTGCGATCTTATATTAGAGAAATCCCCGAAGATAGCGCTAGGTCTTATTTTCGGGGTAGGTCTTACTTTCGGGGAAACACGGTAATTACCTTTTTGGTAACTTTTTTGTTTGTCTTTATGTTTTTGCATATATCTACTGCTTGCTAGCAGTAGATATATGCAAAAAAAAAGACATTAAGCACTCTACCCCTATTATTTTACATGGGGTCTCATGGAGAATACCCGTAGAGAAGCCCCAATACTGCATTCAGCTGGTAGACATTATGATAAAAACAATAACAGTAGTAGCATAATCTGGGAACCCCAGTTATGGAAAAAGTGTAATATCTAAACATTTGTAATTGTGAAATTTACAGTACATTTAAAATTACATTGTAGAAACATACCTTTTCAGTGTTTCATACAGTAAAGTATATTTTGCCTTGAGCTCTGCCACTCTGGTTCCAGGGATTTTTCCAGATGACAAAAGCTATGAGAAACAAAATAGCAAGATATGTCATTAACCCCAGACAAATTCAATTATTCTTTAATTGTCACTGAAATAGAGTGGCCTGGATTAGCTGGGCAGATTCATTTTGTACCATGTAATCTTTCTCTTTTGATACCTTTTCCATAGCGTCTCCTTATTTTCTTCAGTTCATGTCCCTAGGCTTATTGTAGCAATAAATATTATAATTATGTGCCTACTGCAAAGGATCAGGAAGGGATTGGGCTACCCATAGCTATAACTAGCACTTCTGATACGTGTTGGAAATGTTTTATGTTACATGCATATTCAAGATATGACATGAAGCATGGTCAAACCAAACCCTACCTTTGCCAGGTGTGAATAGAGAAACTAAAAGTCCAATCAGCTACTGCGAATAAGGTACTTGCATTTCTCAATGGAATATAGGTGTAGTGCATTTCAAGGATGGTCATCTAACTGCACAGAACCTACATTTTTTAAAAACACTGACTGACTATTTTGCACATTATTCACTGCACTCATGTTTTACGTCCCTTCTTTACTTTTGAAATCTTCTCTGCCGTTATTATTATTATTATTATTATTATACAGGATTTATTTAGCACCAACAGTTTGTGCAGCACTTTACAATATAAGGAGGACATTAAAGTGATAATACAAGTAATACAAGTCAAGACAAGATGGTAAGGAGGGCCCTGCTCATGAAAGCCTGCAATATAAAAGGGAGGGGCAAGTGATACAAAAGGTGGTAGCTGTGTGGGGATGAATTGTTTGAGAAAGTGATTGTTCAGTGGTTAGGTTTAGGAGGGATAAGCTTCCCTGAAGAGATGAGTCTTTAGGGATTTCCTAAAGGCATACAGAGTAGGAGATAGACAAGCAGGTTGGGGTAAGGAGTTTCAAAGGATGGGAGAGACTCTAGAGAAGTCCTGGAGGCCAACATGGGAGGAATTGACGAGGGAGCTAGAGAGCAGGAGGTCTTGGGAGGAGTGAAGTGAACAGTAAGGGTGATACTTTGTGACAAGGTTTGAGATATAGCTGGGGAAGGAGTTGAGAATTGTATCATTTGGGTGATTGGAAGCCAGTGCAGGGATTGGCAGATAGAGGGTTGCAGACACCGAGCGGTTGGTTAGATGGATGAGTCTAGCAGCAGCATTCATGATAGACTGAAGGGGGGATAGCCTGTGTAGAGGTAAGCCAATGAAAAGGGAGTTGAAATACTCAAGAAAAGAGATAACAAATGAGTGGATGAGTAGCTTTGTGGTTTCATTTGTGAGGAAGAGGCGCATTCTGGAAATGTTATGAATGTGAAGTCAGCAAGATTTGGATAGTGATTTGATGTGGGGAAGAAAGGTGAGGTCAGAGTCAAGGATCACACCTAGCACCTTGGCATGGGGGGAGAGCTAGATACTTGTGTTATCAATCTCAATGGAAAAGTTGTGGGAAGGTGCGCTGGGGGGAAAGGAAATATCATGAGCTCAGTTTTTGAAAGGTTGAGTTTTAAGAAGTGTTATGACATCCAGACTGATATGCCTGTTAGTAAATTAGTGGCACGCAAGGACACAGAGGGGGTGAGTTGGGGGGTGATATATTTGGGTGTCATCAGCATAGAGATAGTATTGGAAGCTATGTGAGGTTCTCAACTGACCAAGGGAGGAGGTGTAGATGTAGATGCTATATGCAGATCTGACAAATCTTCAAAATCCTGCGTATTATATATAGGACAGGTAGCACCATTAAATATTATGAACATATTACGTGAGTCTGTGTAAATCTTATGAGCTATTAAAAAAACTATTACAACATGTAGTAATATATAGCAAACAACCATATGTCAATTCACAAACATACTGTATACACTGTATACATTATTAAAGGATCCTTTTCTTGCCAAAGGCATCCTCTGTATTTGTCCCCCATTCAGAAAAAACCTTGCATTCTTTTCAATGAGTGCAAGGCATTGTGATGCAAATGAACATCAAAATATCCCCTCCTCCAATCACAGAATTCCTTGCATTCATTGAAAATCATGCAAGGCTTTTTGTGAATGGAGGATAGGGTACAGCAAGTAACTCAGTGTACTGAGTGTACTGCAGCTGGACCTGATATCTCAGTGCTGGATGTTCGGCGCCATCAGGACAATGTGGGCTTAATAAAACGCAGAAATTTATCAAATGCTGCAGTGGCCAGAGATGGGGCACATCTCATCACTGGTAATTTATTTTTACTGTGCAAATATTAAAAAAACAGTACTTTAATCTCCATTTCTTTCATTTACAATGTCGGTTTGTCTTGCAAAGTGACTTTGCCTTTTGAGCCAATGCTCACCTAGTGGTTTTTCATCTCATAAAACTTTGCATACACTACCGTGATACCATAAACATTTTGGACACTATTAGCTTCTTTAGTGAAAATTAAGTATATAGAAAACACAAAGTAATACATGAAATACTGTATCTAATTATTTTCATATGCAATATACAGTACTAGGTATTCATAGTCATTCATACTGGGTAATTCTGGGCCTTGCACATGAACAAACATGGATAGCACTCAAGAATGCAACATACTTTCCAAAACAGGAGTGTAGCCAAGAACTTTTCTAGCCTATGATGAAAAAACAGCTGTTTGTACGTCAATTACATTAATTGTTTAAACTTTAATTATTACATAGATATGCAACATTAATATAGCATTGGCACAAGTGCAAGAGCTATATTCAGCAAATTAGATAATTTCTAAGGCAGGCAGAGGGCAAAGCGCTAGTCACCAGTAACCTGCAGCCTCCCTTCAGATGCTCTTTTCTCCATTACTGATTTAACATACCTTGTTCTGCCTGTGTCTCTGTGTAAAGGTGGCCATGCTAATAGAAGCAGGGATTTGCTTCCCTATGTCATAGCCTACCCCCTCTATTGGTCCTCCCAGACTTCACTAGAGTCTCTCCAATCCTATGGATCTCGCTACCCCAACCTGTCCATCTATCTCCCACAGTCACTGCCTTTAGGCGATCCCTTAAGACTCATCTCTTCAGGGAAGCCTATCCCGCCTTAACCTAACCACAGAACAATCACTTTCTCAAACAATCATCCCCACACAGCTACCTCCTCATGTATCACTTGCCCCTCCCTTTTAGATTGTAAGCCCTCACAGGCAGAGCCCTCCCTCCTTACCATCTTGTCTTGAATTGTATTGTGATTGTAATGTCTTCCTTATATTGTAAAGCTCTGCGCAAACTGTTGGCGCTATATAAATCCTGTATAATAATAATAATTGGTGACTGGTGATCTGATAACTGGTGTGGCAGCAGGGGAGGTGTAAGAAGCACAGATCCACAAAATCAATACAGCAGAAACAGGAAGATCCTTGCATTGCTGGTCTTTAGATAACGTTTTCTCTCCCATAAGGAGAAAAATGAGCAGCACATCACCAAATCTCACCCTAATATAATGAGACTAGAAATCAGGGCAACACGAATCTCGCACAGCAGATATACAGCTATAACGTTGTAGACACAGTAATTATATTGCTGTTTTTCAACAGGAATTTAACACAAAAAGGTAGATTTTTTCTGGATACCACTTGCACACAGTTAACATTTCATCTTATTCACTATAACATATCAGATCTTTAGGTTTTGGGTTCAGGTGCAATTTAATACAGTAATTTACAGTTATTAGTTTCACATCATTGGGAAGACATCAGACAGAGATTTTGTGCACTGGAAGATGAGTAAACTAGCCTCAAGAATATAAGCCATATACCAAAATTGTGAGACTATGATATAAAAGCACTTACAAAATCACAGTATTTTGCACTATGAGATAGCATGTGGAAGTCATCATGTAAAACCATTTAAATCCTTGGTTCTCAACTGGCAGGTTGTGTTCAGTGGGTCACCGCATGCCTTCCACTTTTCTAGGTGAGAGGCTACTCAGCCTCCCCCCGGCGCAGCACTGTCAGTTCTCAGGCCAAGCAGCCATTCAAAATATGCCCAGTGCTGAGTGTCAGCTTGAGGTGGGGTGTGATGGGGCCATGGCCATGAGGGAGCTCCATCCATATGTGCCTTGCTTACAGCTCCCTTGCGTGCCCTGTAGAGGTGCCTGGACTGAAGAAATGTTGAATTCTGGCTCCCGGCACCTCTACAGGGCGTGCAAGGGAGCTGTGCAAGCAATTCACATATGGATGGAGCTCCATCACAGCACAACAGCCCACACTGGACCCCAGGATGAGGATCCACTCCAGTTCTCAGAAAACAGGGAGACTGTGTGGATCTTGAAAAAAATATAAAAAAATGGGAGATTAACACACTGTACCGCGCAATTGCACCTACCGTGCATTCTGGTTTGGGAGGTGTGTTGCCATTAATTTAAATGGCACCCAAAAGCACATCCAACCCACAGTTTGATTGCCAGCATCGGAACGCTCTGTATTGCAATGCCGTGCGTTCCATTGCAGTGCAACTTGGATCATGACTTATTGACCAAGGACAAATGTGGGTCCTGAGGTTACACAGGTTGAGAACCACTGGTTTAAAAATAGAGGTTTACAGAAACCCCTATTTGTCCTATAAAACTTCCAAAATGATCAAGGATCACTGGACACATCTGAGTGCATGAGGGGAGGCAAAAAGGTTGGCTTCGCTTTATCTTTCCTAGATTCCCTTGCAGTTCCCAATAGGGCAGAGTCCCACACAGCCGCGCCAATTTCAAATGTGTACACATGCCCACAGGGAAAAGAACACCATGATACAGGTAAGTGGAGGGTGGGAGGGAGGTTTGCGATCTGACAATGTTTCATATTACACCCTAAATATGGGTGTAACATGAAACATGGTCAGAACCGTAAACTTAGGTTTTAAGACTCAGTACTAGCAATCAGTTCAGGGCCAAGTCATTTAGATCTTATGTCTGCTCTATTAGAGTCTGAGGAGCAGCCTTCAGAAACACAGGGAAACCAAACTAGTTTAGTACTTATTTAACTGTAGTAGGCGCAAAAACACTGCACCTCATTTCTTAGGCATGCCAATTAAGAACCCTGCTGTTCTATAGCCTCGATATTCAAATCAATGAAAAATAATAGTCTACATCTTGAAACCTAACTGTTCTAAATGCTATATATGTAATTATATTAACTGAAAAACAAAATAATGCTTACCACAAGGGAATCACAGAAAAGGATGTAGCGGCTAATGTAACATCCCTTAACCCTTACTATGCACAAACCGTAGGCTGCCTAAGTGACTCCATACACTGTGTACAATCACCAAGCAATAGAAGAAGATGCACATACTGTATATTTCACTTTCTTATGGCTTTCAAGAGGACCATGAGCAGGTGGTCAGAGCTACATACACATCTAAAGAAACTGCATCTTATGCTAGGTTTTCTTATTATAGATACAGTATACAAAAAGATGATAACTTTGGTAAGCAAGCATAGTCACTCTAGGACAGTAAGGGGCTCATGTATAAACCTATAGCCCAGCGTAAAGTTGGGTGAATGTTGTTCGCACAACATTGCTACCACTAAATGGCGCCAAGGAACATAGAAATGTCCTTCAGAGCCATCTAATGGCAGTAGTGCAGTGCGAATGGCATTTACCCAGCTTTGCGCTGGGCGGAAGGTTTATACAAGAGATGCAGCCAGCACATCAAAAGACTGCTAGGCTGCAATATATTCAATTTTTTGTTCTTGGGTGTAGGTCAGCATTTCTCAACCTTTTTTTTTTTGTCACGGCACCCTTTGAAGGTATACAAAATCTCGAGGAACCCAGTTTAAAATGTAAGAAAACATAAATGTAAAAATATAAAACATTATGTGTAGGTCCTCCAAACATTTTTACCAGGTCATTATCTTATCCAAGATAGGGATCTGGTATGGAGTTTAAAGGGGAACACCATGCAAAAACACAAAAAATAAATGTGGGAATCGCCCCTTCACATCAGAATTCTCTCCACATCTGAGCCCACTTCTTTCACATTAGAGTCTCCTCATTCACATCAGCGTCCCCCCTTAACATTACAAGCCCCCTCACATCAGGAAGCCTCTTCACATCAGAAGCCTCACTAAACATTAGGAGCCCCTCCTTCACATTAGGAGCCCCCCCCCATCACATCACATCACCTCCCCTTCACATCGGGAGCACCCCATTCACATCAGAATACCCTCTCACATCAGAGTCCCCCCTTTCACATCAGTGTCCCCACTTCACATCAGAAAACCTCTTTACATCAGGAGCCCTTCTTTCATATTAGTATTAGGAGCCCCCCTTTCACATCAGTGTCCCCCCTTCACATCAGAAGCCCCTTCAAATCAGACCCCCTCTCCTTTGCATCAGAGTCCTTTGTCCTCCCTTCACATCAGAGTCCTACTATCACACCATATGCCAGAGGAAGCCAGAAGGCACCCTGGTTAAGAAAGGCTGGTGTAAGGCAACTAACAGATATAATGGCGCTGTCCTTATTTTACTCATGAAAGGAACAGGAGGAAGAGTTATCTGTATATATATGTGTTGGTAAACGAAAAAACTTTTCCGGGGTCTAATCATGCAGAAACAAATGTATATACCAAAATTTATATAAAATGTTATTTGTTACCATTAACAATCTAAAAAAAATATGTGATCCCTATAGCACAAAATATTAATGAAAGAAAACGTAAAATAAATGTTTTATTTTTGTTCTCCTTTTTAAAAGATGCCAAGATAAGTGTAAAATGTATCATTAACAAAGGGCTGCACATTTATTTTTAGCTGATGTCCTAAACAGAAAGAAATTTTATTTTCTGCAAATCCTACTATGCCAGGAAGTTCTCTTTAACATCTCCGTGACTTTATTTTGTAAGAGCTCCCACCCATTTCAGAGGAAAACCAGAGCTCCGTGTTGCAGCACAGCCTGCTGCCACTATATAAGCTGTACAGCTTCGCAGTTCAGCATCTCTCGCTGTAAAGATGAAGTCTCTCCTCGGTGCATTAGTCTCTTTTGCTTTGTTAACTGCCCTACATGCTGCAGAAGAACAGAATGTTCCATCAGAAAAGCCTACTAATGCCTGTTCTATAAAAATGAAGACTGGAGGCAAATGTGATGAAGATGGCAATTGTCCCTACCAGGTAACTCTGCCTCCTATGACTATTCAGCTCCCTAAGCAGTTTCAGCTGCTTGAAAAAACTCTCAAAGAAGTACAAAGCCTGAAAGAAATGGTAAGTAACCTGAAGAAATCATGCCAGGACTGCAAACTGCAGGCAGATGACAATCTGGAGAAGGATAAGGATGAGGTGCCAAATGAGGGCCAGATTAATCAAATACAAGATCTGCAGTCTAAGGTTAAGAAAATGTCTATTAGTCTGAAGAACGCTCGATCTCAAATAAACACCTTGCAGGGTCAGCTGGAGAAGATGAACTCAGTCAGTATGAACAATGTGGAAGAATATATTGACAGTAAGGTGGCCAATTTATCAAGCGAAATGAACAGCTGGGACAAATGCTCATATAATTGTCCACTACTTAAGCCGAATACAAGTATGTATTCATGTACAACAATATGGTGATCAGGGCAATCAGGGGGACATGGAAACTGATTTTGGAATAAATACATAATTGGACCAAGAAGTGATTGTTATACTTGATTGACATTCAACTTTAAAGGAGAACTATGAGGTGAGTGCTTTTCACTCACCTCATAGTTCTAGCCGACCTGTGACAATGAGACTGTCACAGGTCGGCTTAGTAGATCGGGAGGTGAGCGTTCGCTCAATAGCTCGCGGTATACTGCAACGTCTCAGTATACCATGAGCTGTAGCTCGCGGTATACTGAGCTTAGGGTGACGGGAGGATACTAGTTTGTGTCCTCCCGTTACCCTAAGGAGAACTATGGGGAAAAGCCTTAACCCCATAGTTCTCCTTTAAAAAACTATAGATAAAATTTTAACCCCTTGTTAAAGTTTAACATATTTTGCCATCCAAAGCGAGGAGGGATTATAGTATTATCCGTCTACCGATTTTGGTTTTCAGACCTCCAAAGCCTAGGGTGAAGGCAGATTGGGACTCACAGCATAGTGTCTACAATGCCATTTTTTGTCACAAATGTGTTGCATTGTAAAACATTTGATTCAACATAAGCATGTTGGTAGCCCTTTTCTAAACATGTCACAATAGATCAGGGGTAGGCAAACTCTGGCTCTCCAGCTGTGGCATCTACAAATCCCATGAGGCATTGCAAGACTCTGAAAGCCACAGGCACGACTCCCAGAGGCAGAAGCATGATGGGATTTGCTGTTTCACTATAGATGGAGGTCAGAAGTTTGCTCACCCCTGCCTCTTTTAAGCTATTAAGGCTACATTTACACTAGCACTTCTGCATTTAGGTTGTTTAAACACAGGGGAAATGATATGGGAAGTATTAACAAACTTTATGATTTCTAGATCAAGTTCTCCTGTGGTTAGATGTACTTTTGTAAACTGGAGTATACTCACGTTCATGTGTCTAGATGCATTTAGATTATCTAATCAGGTTCCCCAGGGTTCTCTGCTAGGCCCAATACTGGTTAACCTGTTTCTTAATGATATCGGGGAAGGCATCAATAGCCATGTTTCTGTGTTTGCAGATGATACTAAAATTGGGAGGGTAATAGACACGGGCATAGACAGTGTAACATTACAGGAGGACCCTAAATAAAAAAGTGTAGTGGGCAACTACATGGCAGATGAACTTTAATATTGAAAAATGTAAAGTAATACATTTTGGGGTTACAAACAGGCCCTCCTTCCATCTTGTCTTGAATTGTATTGTGATTGTAATGTCTTCCTTATATTGTAAAGTGCTGCACAAACTGTTGGCACTATATAAATCCTGTATAATAATAATAGTAATAATGCAGCATAGAAGCTCCACTAGAGAATTTAGAAGTGGAAAAAGATTAGGGGGTCATAATTAACTGTAGACTAAACAAAGCTGGCACTGTCATACATTAAAAAGGGAATGTTCTCTAGAGACAAAGCAATAATTTTTGACATTTTCCAGAACACGGGTTCAGCCTCATCTGGAGTATGCGGTTCAATTTTGCTCACCAATCCACAGAAAGGATGTCCTTGACCTGGAGAGAGTCCAGTGAAGGGCAACAAAACTAGTAAAGGGGATGGAGGACCAAAGCTATGAGACAAGGTTGCTAAATTTAAACATGTTCACTGTAGAAATGAGGCGATTAAAAGGGGACATGATTTTGATGTAAAAAGTGTTTAATAGTGATGGTAATATCAGTTAAAGACTTTTTACTGTAAACTTACTAAAGAAGAAAAAGAGGCAACCACCTGAAATTGGAGTAGAAAAGATTTAGGGGCGAAGGGGATTATTTTCATTCGGTATGAAATCATTCAAAGATCGTTTAAATACCTTCTTCAGAGAGCATAACATACAGGGGTACAGGTACTCTTCATGACTGGAACACACGGAGACTCACACACACATACAAAGGTTGAACTCGAAGGTCCTGTGTCTTTATTCAACCTCAACTAATCTGCCCTTGGACACACAATTTTTTTCTAAACACAGTTAAACTGAGCGCAACTCAACCCAGACTGCACAGTTTGAAGTATACTATTTAAAATCATTACAAGCATTTATATGTGTTATTTTTTCAATGCCAGTGTGAATGAGGCCAAAGAATTGACGTTCATAAATGGAACACTGCATTGATCTCTTACATCAGTCCTTGAAAATGCTCTGAAGATACATTGCCACAAGGCCAGGACAGATGAAATGTAAATGATGCTGACAATGTTCAGTCATTTCTGGTACATAATACTATATTGACTTGACACATATCTAACACAACCACAAAAAAATGGTCCCCCCCTGAAAAGAGGTAACATACTGGAGAATGTGCTGGAAATAGAGGAAATTAGGGATGATTTTCTGATAATGGGATACAACTTGGGCTCAAATGCTACAAATTAATGGCACAGAAAGAAATCTGAAAACAAAGCTACAGAGAAACAGGTGCTTGCTGGCATCTGCTGCAGTTCATTGTGTATAAAGATTTCCAAAGAGGAAAACTTGGCAAACGATTTAAGTAACAGAGAGCAATGCTTGGTGGAAAAAAAAAAGTGCTCCACAGGGGCTCATTAAAGATAAAGTGACTTGGAGAGTGGAAAGTGAAAAAAACAGGTAAATTAGCTTACTACTTAAGTTTCGAAAGCTCTATTACTCATAATAGGAACAGATAGGAGTATATTTATACAGCAGTAAAGGTGACTTTTACCAAAACATTCACTGATGGTAAATCAGTTGCATTTAAAACAAATGCCCCAGAAATATTCACCAGTGAATGTTTGGTGAATGTCAGATTAACTGCTAAAGAAATATACCCCCTGAGTTACTATTAGCTAATTATTCTACCTGATATTAAATCAAGTTTTGATCATGATGAGGGCACCATTTCTTTACATAAAGGGGTCTATTCACTAAGCTGCCGAAGGATCTAGCCGTAGCATCGGCTGATCCTTCGGCTAGCTTCAGCCCCAGGACCCCTTCGGTTCAGTAGAACTGAAGGGCTGCTGTACGGGCTATTCACTATAGCCCGTACAGCTCCCGAAGTTGGCCGAGCAGCTCAGTCGAGCCGAAGGCATATGCCTCGGCTCGGCTGAGCTGAGGTGAAAGCGGAAGCTGGCCGAGCGGCCGGCCGACAGCCTGCTTCTGACAGCTGGGCGGAGCCAGCCGTGATCTTACGGCTGGCTCCAGCCACTTGCAGAGAGATCAGCATCCCTGGTTACCAGGTAACCAGGGACGCTGCCATTACACACTGAGAACCCGGCTGGGCCGCTTTATTTTTACAATGTTTATTTGTAAAAGAAATGTTGCTGAATGTTAAGTTCTCTGTAAATTAATAGCTGTCTATATACAGTACATACAGTATATTGCCTTTTTCTATTGCATGCATTTATAAAGGCAGACAACAGAATATATAACAGAATATGTCATCAGGTATCACAGACTTATCTTGTCGGTGTAAACTAATTAGTGACATTTCATACATAACGATTCCCCTCCACACTTCCTATGCTGTGGAAGCATTTCCTTGATGAGACCTAGAGGAAATACTGCCGTTTATAATATAGCTGGGACATGGCGTTTAGTGGCGCACTGTCACTTCCCTTGCACGCAAGTCTGCACACAAGATTGGTGACAGTCCTACATTTATAGCTTTTTATCTCCAAGAAACAGCTGCAAAGATAAATGTCTGTTATATAAATCAATTAATGACAGCGGAAACCACCGTGTTCTAGCATCGTCCACCCTTTCCTATTTAGGAAGCCAAGTTTTCTTTCAGTGATTATCTTTCCTATTGTCCTTTTTGAGAGGCTATACAATCATATTTGAAGATATGTAATTCAGATTTTTGGAAAAAGTTCAGTCCACAAATTCACAAAAAAAGTAAGAGCTGACTGAGTTAACAGAGATGTGGGAACTTCTCTGGAGCACATAAACGTTTAGGTGAAAAACAGGAAGTAGAAAGTTCAAGCTGTGTATAAATGGAGGAAATATTTATCCATGTGAACACCACTGAAGTACCAAACACACCATCAGTCATTTCAGTTTAGACTAGAAAATGTCACCCTCTCCTCTATTATTTGTGGTCTTTTTTTTTCATTAAACTTTTTGTTAACATTTTCCCTGACAACGGACAGAAAAAAACACAATAAAGCGAAAATGTCAACACACAGCCTTAAAAGGAACAAACTACTACGTACATGTTTGGCGAGGTGAATAATACATAAAACAAGGCATTTTCCATTGTTGTACACAATAAGAATATTTAACTAAATTTATGCTATGGTTTCATGTCAACATCACATAAATAAAGATGGGGGAGAGGGTGTAGGGTATCCATTCTGTCACAGAGCTTTTGTAAGTAGAGTGAAAATAGCCCTGTGAAGACTAATACCCTATGGAAGGTCAATAAACAATGATTGCAAGTTGAGGCCAGTGACTGCTTCCAATCATTTCCTATATCCAAGTTTCAAAATTGTAGCCATATTCTATAGAAATCTGCCTTTTTCAGTATAGTAATCTCTTTCATAAAGCAGATTTTGTCAATGCTTAGTGCCCACTCAGTTTTTTGGCTTACAATTAATTACCAATTTTCAATCTGAAAACACGCGTTACTCAAAAACAGTCCCCATAACAAAGGTTGTCCTTAATAATTAAAAAAAGGGCCAAATAAAATCTTGTATGCATGTGTAACACAGGCATCAAATTTATCATCACAGCATTCACATACCATCAGTGAGAGCTTAAACTTGTACTGCCCCATTAGATCTCTCCCCAGGTTTGGCCAACAAGAGTCAATTTTGTAGCACCGAATTCTGTATTATTCATTCAGGACACCACTGCATGCAAAATATTTACTATACTTAAAGCATTGCTACAATATTCTCTGTAAACTTCAGAATATGCATAATGTGAGCTGTGAGGCATGCATTGTATTTTATAGACACAAATCTTATCTTATTACTTATGTACAAATGAAATTTTGTTATTGACTTGTTGTTATTTATTTTTGTGCTCTCTTTACAGGCATGCAGTTTATCTACAAAGACTGCGCTGATTACTTCAAGCTAGGCAAAAGGCTTAATGGGGTTTACCACATCATGCCAGATCCAAAGAACAAAACATTTGACGTGTACTGTGATATGGAGTCCATGGGTGGAGGATGGACATTGGTGCAGAGTCGTCAGGATGGCAGTATAAATTTTAACAGGACATGGAATGAATATAAAAATGGTTTTGGTAACCTTACTGGAGAGTTTTGGCTGGGTAATGATAAGATACATCTGTTGACCAAAAGCAGCAACATGATGCTGAGAATTGAACTTGAGGACTTTAAGGGTGTGAAGGAACATGCCACATATGACCAGTTCTATGTGGCCAATGAATACCTTAAATATCGATTGTCAGTCAGTGGCTACAGTGGAACCGCAGGTGATGCCCTCCTCTTCAGCAAGCAGTACAGCCATGACCAAAAATCCTTTACAACACCAGACAAAGATAATGACAGATATCCATCCGGAAACTGTGGGGCTTACTACAGCTCTGGATGGTGGTTTGATGCATGCATGTCAGCCAATCTAAATGGCAAGTACTATAGGAGTGACTACAAGGGAGTGCGCAATGGAATTTTCTGGGGTACATGGAAAGGTGTGGATGAGGAACATATCAGCAGCTTCAGGCAAGCCTTTAAAAATGTCAGAATGATGATCAGACCAAAAGACTTCTCATCATCATAAGCTTTTTTTCTAGTTTTAGCCAGAGTGGGGAAGGGTTACTGATATTGTCTCTGTTGGGAAGATTTGCTCCCATTTTAGGTCTCGGTGAAGAGCAAATTCTGAAGAGATATGTAAAGTTTTACAGATCTTTCAGGAATGGGGTAGAGGAGAAATCTCCTAAAAAGGACAACTGTTCTGTGACAGCTGTCAAAAAATTGGTTTTCAACTTACTTTATGGATATTTATGTCGTACTTCCTATTGTCTTCTCTGTGGAAGTAAGTGAGAGAAAATCTTCTCAGGGGGACACAACAGCAGTAAAAACTTGACAAAAGATCTAAGGACTAGTTCACACCAGCCCCAGTGAGTTCCAGCCCGGCTCACCTTGTTTTGGGGTGGGAGGGGGCGTTTCGGTGCAGGCAATCGCACTGTGGCTGGAGGGTGTGGCTGTGGTACCATTGACTTGAATGCACCGTCACGCCCCCTCCAGCCCCAAAACAAAGTGAGCCAGCCGGAATTAGATCCAGTGCGTTCCGGCACAAATCGGCCTGGAACCCACTGGGGCTGGTGTGAACTGGCCCTAACACTTCCTCATTCTGTCCTAAACTAACATATATGGATTAGAGATCCATTTGATAAATATGTTTATATATTTGTGAACTTTTCTTTTAAGTTATGTTATAGTAAGGAATAAATAAGCAACATTTCTGTTTGTCGTTTAAAAAAATGAAAGTACGGAATGAGCTGAAGGACCTTCTTATTCATCTACAATAAGTAGGAATTACAACAACCTCCAACAACAAAGCAATAACTAATCATGACATACATTTATTAAATGAACTTTGCAACAAGGTTCAATAAAAGTAATTTATTTACAAAAATCTAAATTTACGTATAGTGAACCTGGCCTACCAACAGTACAGAAGTACAGATACCCAATGGTTCCTGCAAATTCTTATGTAAGCCTTAAAATCAATCCCTGTACCCCAGTGGAGCCCCTCTGGATCCTAGGGCCAGGCTGACTCGGGACCTCAATTTCTACACAAGTTGAGAATAAACCCCATGCCCTTCTGGTGATAAATCCTACTCCTGCCATTCAAATGCCAAATGCTAGAGTGTTTGTTGCCCATCAAAGTTCTCAAAGTTAAGAGTTGAATGAAAGGAAAGAGGCCTATTTTTGACTTGTTTAGAATCCAAGGGACACAGAAATCGGTTTAGAGTCCTCAGGTCTGTAAATGAATCACAAGGCCATTTCCATTCAAGAGAAGAGGTTGTATACTCACCTCTTCTGTGGCCCATATGCTACCTCCCCTCTATTCCAGCTCTGCAGCTTCCTTCCCTCTCTTCAGCATGTGACACTTTCAAATACGAGTGTCCCCCACCACATGTTAGTTCCCTCTTCCAACCCCTACACCACTACAGGATTTAGCAGTGAAGTAGGGGTCAGAAGAAGGTATCAACATATGGCATAGGACACAGGCATCTGATGCTCCTGGAAGTATGTAATGCCTTAGCTATTGATGGAGGCTGCAGCACTGGAGGTAGGAGTCAAGTGTCAGCATAGAGATCAGTATATTACTACTACTCTTGCAGGAACTTGAACTTTTGATTAGTTTAGAGATCTGACAGGGTCTCTTTAAAGATTAACTCAGGTGCTTTCAGGCTCCACAAGGTGCCTGCACTTCAACACTGTTGTTACCTTAGAAACATTTTAGGCAAGGTCATATTCTATTCAGTATTAGTGCTATAGACTCCATCCAGATCCTACAAGAGATTTTATTTATAGAAATCACCCTCCCATATTGACTGGATAAATAATTTAGATGGAAATTTTAAGTTGTGCAGCATGTGAACTTGTCTTTCTGCTATGGATACGATTCCAGGGAGAGAATTCATTATTCTTTTTAAAGGAACAAATGAATAAAAATATTAAATAAGGAAATATATAAATAAGTACACAAGAAAGCAAATAAAGCTGATAGCCTAAGGGACCTTGTTGGACAACCATTGGAAGATTTGCCCCATTTATAATGCCCATTCACCTACCTGATACCTTATAAAATTAGGCATATACTTGGATACCGCAGCAATAAGTCTAAAGGTTGATCAGTGATCATAAATCAGTTTGTCTGTTAGGCAAATTAGTGAATTAATGAATCACAAATGTCTGGAATCAGGACAAATGTACACGGATATGAATCAAACATTTAAGAATGACAGATTATTTGATGATCACTAGTGCCCACAGACAGAGTTACAGGCGTGGATATATGTAATCAAAATCATTTTGTATTCTTTGCTATTATTTAATATATCATATTTGTATTCATGTTATGTGAGGCAATATTATCCAAGTATCCAAAGAATATTCTACTTCTGTAACAGGCGTTACAGAAGTACAACTGTCTATAAGTAAGGTTATGATTCAGAAAATAGGGTACTTTAATCCACTGTGTAATATGGCTAACCATTCTTTGCTGTTTGGAAACTGTAAGTGTATATACTCATTAAAGGAGGACCTGTCTTATGTAATAGTAAAGTATATCTAAACCTAAGAACAAAAATGTCATATCTTGTAGCTTACCAGCCCTTAGATGTGGCATGTCATCGAGATGGGTAGAAGAGCAGCCTAGGCTGACAACCCTGCTCCTCCATAGATACGGTGCAATAAATAAATAAATGTCACTGAAGGACAGAAAATGTGTTAATGGCTGGATCACCCAGTGGAAAAAAAAAAGGAATGCAGTATCCACATCTCAGGACTGGTAAGCTGCAAAATATAACATTTCTGTTTTTTGGGGTTTAGATACACTTTAATGAGGCAGAGTCATGCATTTTTTCTTTCAATATGGAGTTTTTCATAATATAAAATATTATTTTCAAACTACCCCTACTTTGATGTTTCTCTTTAGGTAAATAGGGGGCAATACCTGCAAAGGTTTTGGTGGCAAGGTGACTATATGATGAGCCCTCTTGATTTTCAGGCTGAGGCCCCCACATGAGAGTGTTAGTGCTCTCTGTAACAGGGACTAATGCCAATAAATAAGTAGTGAGAAAATGATAAGAACTAGTGCACAGATTCAAGCAATTCATATCTAACCTCTGTTACCTGAATTACTATTTTAAGTTATGAACCGCTATATAAGCATTCAGACTTACAGGTTTGAGATTCTAAGGATTCATTCATGAGATTTTTGAGCTCAACACAATAACAGAATTTATTGGTATATAGTATCAAGACTTAAATACAATGAACCAACAATCTATTTAACTACAACATACAAAGAAAAGATTTAAACATGCCAAATACCCAGACATTGGTATCTAACAGACAAACAGACATACAGTTAAGTGGTGGAAAGATTATATGTATAGTTACCCATTAAACGTCACATGAGGCCCCATCCTGGTGAAAAGAGATCGAGCTGTTTTTTCCAGTCATTAATATAGCCCTCGTGTCCATAGGGATGCATGACAAATCTCCCATTGGTTGCCTCCCAAGGCCTACTGGAGATTGGAGGGTTTCCAAGACCCTCTTTACAACTCCACACCCCTCTCTACGATTGGCCAGTCTACTTGTTATTAGATCAAAGGGTCTTGGCTCCTGATACACAGGATACTGAAGTTGCACCTCTATGGTAATTATCTGGACATGCCTGGGCTCAACAATGACCCTATTTGCAATTCATTGGGCCTGGCACTCCCCTCCACAGTGATAAGCACAACAAAGACTTTATTTCCCTACAAGCTATCAACACCTCAGGGGAAATATTTAAAACAAGAAATAAAACTATATACATATGTCTTATGAAGATTTGACATAAACTCATACGGTAACACCTCTTTACCCTTTATTGTAGGAGAGTCAGCTCTAAACATACATATATGACAGGTCCCCTTTAAATATGTACTCAATTGCATTTTTCTTCCAATGTTGATATAGCTAATAATTTTGTATATATGTAAATATTGTTCTAAAATGCTGCAGTAATATATAATGTGATACAAATAAAGATTTTGCCAGATTTTGCTGTTTTGCCACAACCACAAAGTGCACACATACTGGTTTTCCTTCCTATAATTTGTATTTTTAAAGCTATGAGAGAGTTTTACTTCCTGGAATTTTCGCAATGTGCTCCTGTACATGACTTTACCATTTTAGGGCTAAACATTCATCTTGTAAAATATTAAAACAAGCAAAGGATCTAACATTCACTAACTGCTAAGATAAGCATACTTGTCTTACATGAAAAAAATGTTCCTCTTTAGCTGGAAGGCCACCGCATTAAAGGGGAACTCGGTGTTAAAATATGAATATACCATATATAATTGTCGCACAAGCCATTGTGTAATTCAATGTTAATAAAAAATTACCTTTCCATTTAAAACTGCAGCAGCTCTCATTTTCTAAAACTTAAAAAAAAAATTAAATGCAATATGGCGGCCTGGAGGCGTTCTGTTGGTACAGTTGGTGTTAAAATCCTTGCAATGTACATTGATCAACCAGACGGGATTTATTTTATCTCAGCAAAAGTGGAGTTACTCTTTAAGTAAAAAAAAAAAAAAAGGTAACAATGTATGTAAACCCAATTAAAATGTGACAATGGTTCATGCTATACCCAGATTATGGTTGTAACATGAAACATGGTCTTATCCCCAGGCCCCACCCTGAAAGCACCCCCCTCTCCCCATGTACCTGAATCATGGGGTTCTTCTCTGTGCAGTCTGCCACTGTATTTTTAATTTTGCCCATCTGTGCGTGGCTCTGCCTGCACAGCGGCATCATTCATTTACAGATCCACTCACAGGATCTGTGATTGGAGAGTCTACAAGGCATGTTTGCCACTGTGGCAGAGGGACCTGTAGTTCTTAATGGAGTGTAAGTGCACTGACATCACCGCACTTGTAGTCTATTCATACTTCCTACTGTCCTGTAAATGAAAGTCTGTACCTTAGTACAGCCAAGGGTCGGGAGGAAGAGTCTGCAAGAGCCTGAGCATTGCACTGATGATCCACTGATTGTGGTTGCAATGCTTTGCAGGATTGTTGCAGGAAAGTTGGATTAAAGCTAGCAAAACAAACAGATTATTGCAGCTCTGTAATCATT